TCAGGGAGTTGTAGAGAGCGAGAAGGTCTCCCCCCAGCCTCCTCTTCTCCAGGCTGAATAACCCCAGCTCCCTCAGCCTCTCCTCATAAGGCTTGTGCTCCAGACCCCTCACCATCTTTGTCACCCTTCTCTGGACCCGCTCCAGCACCTCAATGTCTTTTTTATGGTAGGGGGCCCAAAACTGGACACAGTACTCAAGGTGAGGCCTCACCAGTGCTGAGTATAGGGGGACAATCACCTCTCACTTCTCTTCAGGTAAAACTCCAATCTGTGTAGAGTAAACTAAGCAAACCATGGTATTTCTCATAAGAAAAGGCTATATAAATTTAGCATCCTGGCCAAAGCTGAGCTTAGGTAAGAATACTGCTTCCTTATCCAAGCTAACTCTCGCTCTTGAAGAATACACTTCATCTCTTGTTCTGTACTAAATTATCCCAGATTGGTGCCCAAAGATGGCTAGGTTTTTGCTTAAAAAAACCTAAAAGGCTAAAACACATGTTCAGATTGGGCCAGGTAAAATGGCATCTGAAAAACAAAACAAAACCAAAACCAACCTCCGGAAATCCCACCCAAATCTCAACAGTTTATTTTAAATCTCAGCAGCTTGTTAAACAGCTCCCTACATCCAGGCTCTTGACTCATGATAAATGTGAGTTCCTTCAGGATTGCCACTAACCTTCAAGTCCAAAATGACCCCTGCTTTCTAAGTCTACATCAAATGAAATAAAGGGCATCTTATACTTCAGTAAAAATGATATAAGTTCTCTATGTGCCTCATACTTCATGTTGTTATCACATAATAATTTTTCACTTCCTGGGGCTGCTAGTGGCTAATTCTAATTTTTTTTCCATCTCTTTTTCTTTTTTCTCTTTGTTTCAAGGGGCTCATTCCCCACAGGCAGTGCCAGTATTGAGTCAAAGTGTCATTCAATCCCACAAAGTCACACATTTTCAGCTGGGAGGTGGGTCTGATTATCTAATTACCTTTTGACACTTCCATCGTCTCCTTTGGCACCTGGGCACAATAAGTCGGGCATTTCAATATCTGCTCATCCTCAATTTAGACCTGTTTTCAAAATACAAAAGAACCTTAAGTGATCTGTCCACAGCATTGAAATACCAACCTTAGTGGATACTTTGAAAACTCAAAGGCTTTACAAGATGAATAGCAAACTGTGGATGACAGCTCCTGTGGAGCCATTATTGAATTGCAGCAGTGATGACTGCATTGCTTTGGATTTAGATAAAAGACTCCATACAAGACAAATGGTAGGAGGACATCAAACAAGACTGTGTCCATGCAGTGACAGAAGCAATCCAATTGAAGAAGCTGTTGATTTCCCCAAGGTAACTTACTATTTCTTCTTGAGTAATTTATATTAAGGAACTAAAGATTGTATATTCATCTTCTATTTACACTTTTCTCTAAAAATACTGCTTCTAGTTGTCAAATATAAGACTTGCTTAAACTACTTGCTGGAAAAGAAGTACCAGTATCGGAACTTGTTAATTATTTTGCATCTGTGTTTTATTTATCCACAATATCACTATGTCTAAAGGTTATAGACTGAGAGTTACAATCAATACTGATCAGATAAAGAGATTAGTCAGCAAATCAATAACATACATACCAACAGGAAGCACTGTGCACTCAAGACAACGATGAATACAAAGGGTACAGATAAACATCGTCACCTTTATTTAGATGAAAGCTGATTCTAGAGCACTTCCACTATCTCATTAATAATGCACAAACCTTTTGGAGTCTTAGTTTGCTATACAAGCGTAATGTAGATCTCAAATAAGTTTCAAGATATGACATAAAATAGGTTTGCACAAAACCATTGGATGTGGGGTTTACTGACAGCTGTACTGACAGCTGTACCGTGGAAAGGATACAGAATGTTTATTTGACTTCTTGCAGAAGGTCTACATTAGCATTTGAGTCTTCCTGTCATTCTCACTTACTGTACCTTACTGGTTTACAACAGTCAACAGACCTCGGTCACTCAGACCAACTGGCTTCCTAACAAGCTGGAGAGGGAGATATACCCTGTAATCACACATCATGTGCTCCAGCTGGGAATGGCCACTGAGCCCACAGGGCTGGGCTACAACTTTTCATGAGCAGAACCACCTGAAGTGCATATAGTGCTGTCAATGGATCTCTATTACACACCAGTCCACTCTGCAGGTCCACTTTTATTTGTCCATCATAAGTGATAAAGAGATTAAACATATACACACACATATGTGTGCATAGAAGCATATAAAATTTCTGCTAATTCAGATTTTTTTCTATCTACCCTCCTTGTATCCTATTTTGTACAACTTTGCAGCTTGCTATGCTGCCTTCTATTTTGTCTCAGGTCTGGTTGCCATCCTCATATTTTTCACTCTTCCCCAACGTGTCTTAGCACATTTTTCTGTCTGCCTGTCTTTCTCTTCTCCCCTTCTAACATCTTTTCTTTCCCAGGTCCTTTATGTTAAACCTGGAGTAGCCTAAACTGAGATTAAAACAAATAACCTTTCAAATAATATATCCCTCTTTTTCTGATCCTTCTAATTCCCCCTCCCACAAAATCTGCCTGACAGACGGACCATGGTCAGCTGTCACGAAAAATTTTACCTGGGATGCCACCTTGCCAGGAGGCATGGTTCAAAATCCCTCCTCAACCTGATGCAGCATTTGCTGTTCTTGATGAAACTTTAATCTAAATGCCCAGGGATATGATTCCCTAAAACCGTTCCCAGTTTCAAATGACATTAGAGCAGAAGGAGCCTTTAGCCTGTCATCCCCTCATACTGAGAAAAGGACTCCCAAGTCCAAAGAGTTTTGGGAAAAAACCCTGAGCAGCAAATTTTTTGCATAATCAAGAAACAGATCCCCTCCACCCCACCTTCAAATGCTTGACTAATTTAATGTGTGCATGTGAGTCTCTGAACTCCTTGCAATGATCTTGGTCCCGGGAGGAATTATCCGCATCTGCTCCTTTCCTTGCAGAATACTATGAGCAATATACTGGAGAATCTAAAAGCGAAGTTTGTTCTGAGCAGCTTCATTGAAAAGAACAGGTTTCAATAAGCTAAACTTAAAAATAGCTTCAATAGTGTCTAATCTGTGATTCCTGCTTGGCACTGATAATTAGGACTAAAAAAAAAAAAAAAAAACGACAGAAAACTAACATGATTGATCTCGGTGAAAACAGTTTTGTTTTGTTCTCTTGAAGCTACCCTCAGAATTCTACTTTGCATGATTACTTGCAGTATTTTTCCATCTTTGTTTTCACTTTTTAGCATTGGTGAGTTTGTCCAAGACCCAAGTAACGAGCAAGTGCAATTGCCAGCCAAGGGATAAGATCCAAATGAAATTATTCTCACTTTTTCTTTTTCACTGAGGTCCTAATGGGAGCAAGGCTACCTTTCTCATTACAGAGTTTTTACTTTTAATTAGCTCCTTCCTCTTGCTGACACGGGCAGTATTTTGCCCCTGGTTGGGAGGGTGGAGCACTCAGCACCTTCCCGGCTCTTCCCTTGGTGAACCAGTTGGAGAACAAGGAGCTGAACCACCTCCCTCTCTGAAGATGTAGCATTAGTATGTATGGCTACCCCAGCTTCATCTGTATTTATATGGCTGCTCAGCATCTTAGGAAAGACGACCACAACAGCAAGCTTTCTGCCTCAGTCAAAAACAAGAGACCTTCAGGCTCAAGCTGTTTCCTCCCCTGTAGGCAATTATATGTGCAGAACACTATCTGTGGGGAACCACATGGTTTTCCTTAACATCCATACGTCTCCTGCTCCTTGAACATGAGCAAGTGTAAAGAGAGTAAAAACAGTTACCCTCTGAATCCTTTTTCAAATAATCATTTGGAAAGCAAGAATTTGTTTTATTTCCTACTGCAGAGGAATCCACCTCTTTGCCCTTCCCTTTTTATTGCTCATATTGTTGGCAAAATTACTTTTTCCTCCTCAAGTAAATTTCTGATGTGGATTTTGTCTTTTTCCTTCCCACAGAGTCTTACCTGATGGAGTTCTTCTGGTCCAAAGAACTGAATAGAAGCTCCCCAATAGTGATAGGCTGCAATTCCTATGCAGCTTCCTCTCTGGAAAAAAAAAAAAAGAAACAAAAAACTGAAACCACAACAACAACAACAACAACAAAAAAGCACAAAAAAATCCCCCATACTCCAAAAAATAAAAAAAAAAAAAAAGGAGAAGAAACAAACCACCTCAAAGCCAGTGTCAAATGCAGGTCTCAAAAGCATGTGTTGATTCCACAGTACAAAGTCACTTTAAATCCCCTCGTCCCTGGTTTCCACTCCCCAAGAGGAATTTATTTTTTTTTTGTGAGGTCTGTTTGTATTTAATTATCAAATTGCAAAGTATTTACACCAACATTAGAGTTTCAAAGCATCTCCACCCCCCACCACCCACAAAGCTGGACCTTTTCAGGAAAAAACAAAAAAAAACCCCCCTTATCCAAAAAAAAAAAAAAAAAAAAAAAAAAAAAGGAGAAGAAACAAACCACCTCAAAGCCAGTGTCAAATGCAGGTCTCAAAAGCATGTGTTGATTCCACAGTACAAAGTCACTTTAAATCCCCTCGTCCCTGGTTTCCACTCCCCAAGAGGAATCAAACCAGAGAACAGCTTACATTGTCAAGACCTGGGAGCTTGTTGTAAGAATAACTAGTTCTTGACATTTGAAATTACTCTGGTTCAAACATTTTGTGATCTTTCTTATTAGCCCTGTGTCTTGAGAAATAAAAATATGATAATCAGAAAGTACATAATTGGGTTCAGGGTATTCTGTGGTCACCCTGCCTGGCTCTGGAGATAAAGGCACTTTGAAAGATTACGCACGGATATCTGGAATTTATTCTGCACGGTCTGTGAAATGACAGATCTTTTTTCTTAATTATACCGGCTATCAGTCTAACACCTGTAGTTAACCATTCTGTCCTGAGGAATCTCTTCCATGTGTTTTATTGTTCCACCAGACCTGCGGCAGCAAACCGGCACGTGGATTCCGAGACGTTTATGACTGCAGAGGTGGAGGTTACCTCCAACCCCCTCAAGGGCTGTTTTACACCACTGCATCTCCACCGCCTCTGGGCTCGGAGGGACCATCCGCAGAAGGTGCCTCCACACTTCCCCAAACGTTATGGACCGGACGCTACCGTTTTACAAGGTGTTTGGAGAGAAATACGTACGTGTTCGCCAACCTCTCTAACGAGATGTTTTCGGGAGCATCCCTGGAGCAGGGTTGGTTGCCAACTGACAGCAGCCCCCACTCCCTGCCTCCCATCCCACCGCCCACTCGTCTTTAAACCTCCAGCAAGACCCTCGCTGCAGCAGTGAATCACGTTCAGAGGGCTTTCCACAAGCTGGGTTTATTGAGCTGTATTGTAGGAAAATATAGCTCAGACAGCCCCACTGCAGCCAAAACAATCTGTCATTTTTAATTCTTCCTGTCACCTCATTAGGTATATAGCTAGAGTGACAGTAAAAAAAAAACCACCCAAACACCAACAGCAAACCCCAGAACACAATGTTTCCACATCTCCTGCTCAGACCTTAACATAAATATCAAGGCAGCAAAAGATTCATTGACCAAACATATGTGACTCGGTGCTGTATATAACAAAGTGACATGCATAATGGTCTCAATAGGCATATAAAGCAATTAAAAATAACTGTGCTTCAAAGCATTGTACGATATCATAAAAGGTCATCCCTATAAACATGAAAAAGACGACTGTATTTTTTTCCTACAAACAGGCACACAAATACTCAGTTAGAGGTTCCATTCTCTAAAGGTAATCTTTAAAAATCTCTGAAAATATGCCACGTCCCTTGTCCTTCTCCATCAGATTGTGTTTTTTCATCAACGGTTAATATTTTAAGTGAACACAATAAGAAACCTTATCAAGGCCAACTACATGTCAGAAGACAATACTGTACTAAATGCAAAAAAATTACCCCGTGCATATACATGATAGCGAAGGAAACCCTGGGTAACCTTCTGTGAAAATGAAAAGCCTATTTTTTTTCCCTGCTAAAGCTTGCTTGTTTTGACATTAGCGCATTGAAGTTGTATTCCAATGGAAGCTGCAGAGAGTGCATTTTGAGGACTCTGATAATTTTTGCAGTAACACTCTGAGTTTGTGATAATAATGTTTATGCACAGATGTAAAGAATGTGCTGACAGATTAAAAAGGAGTCAGCCGGTGTTTGCACAGTGTTCATTTTTATTTAAGGGGAGGGGGGAAAAAAAAGGAAAAAAAAGAAAAGAAAACAAAAAAGAAGTCGTACTACACCTGGCTATGAACAAACAGCTTTTATAGAAGCGGAAGTAGATTGGTGTATTGCAGCTCCCTAACCCCCCTCTGGATTAATTCAAAAATTCAAGTTATGGGCACTTCAGAGAATCACAAGCTTTTATTTTTACTGCAATTAGAGACTTCACTTTAAATGACCAATAGTATTTTACAAATAGTAAAACAAAACTTAGTCCAGACAGCAGTATTTAGTAAGGATGTGTTCAAAAAAAAGCTCATCTATTGCAGAGACAATCCTCACTTTGAAGACCCTTCTTCCTTATGTATTTAGGCTATACTCACATTCCAACTGTACTTGGAATGCTGTAGTGCCCCCAGGGGTGTCCTGAAGGATAGTGAAGGTACAAATGGAGCATATGGTGTCTGCTGTTTCTTAATAGAGACTTATGGTATTTTAAAGCTAATTGATGCACTGAAACCTCATATTTTACAGTGTCATAGCACAGGAAGAGACTACAGGTCATGTCATTTGCTCTCCAACTGATCAGAGACTACTCTGATCAATACCTCAGAAGTATGCAGCAGCTACAGTTGGAAGAAGAGTCTAGGTTGGGGTAGGAAAAAAGAAAATGCTCATGAAGAGAAGAGGAGAAGCAGCGAAATATTCAGTTGGAAGAAATATTCATTTAGAAAGCTGAATCATGCAGAAACCTGCAACTTCACAACAGACTCCACAAGTGCAATGGGGAACCCCGTGCCATGCCTCCCTTTTTTGATGGATTTGCCTTTCAACCTAATTGGAGCAGGGGCAGAGAGATCAGATGTTCCTTGCTCCTTTTGAAAAGTGCCTGGGAAAACTCCACGTAATCAGGTGGTATTTATGATTTCCACTGACTTTCAATTTTCCTGGTTCATCTGTTCCCTTTCAGAACGTTTGATGCTAGTCTGTTCTAAACTGTATGTTGAATTTGCTTTAATCAGGTGTCTTTGTAACAGGCATTAGGTCATTTACTGTTTGATTTTTTCTGCAAAAATACAGGTTTTCTTAGTTTCGAAAGTGTCCTTTGAAGAAACCTGTCATATTCCAGACAGGGAAAAAAAAAAAAAAAAAAAAAAAAAAAAAAAAGAAAAAAAAAAAAAAAGAGAGAGAGAAGAGGATCAGGGAGGGAAGCAGGGAGCAATGCAATGAATCTGAATTCTGCAAGGTTCTGTGAGGCTCTTTGTACCTATCATTGCCCACCCCCACCAAACTCCTTTCTCCTGTGACCTGGGCTCAGTCACTGAAGCCAATTAGCATAAACAGAGCTTAATATTCAAGTAGACAATTACCTACACTGGCAAGTGCTAGCACAACCAAATGCTCTTCCTATTTTTGCAGTTCATCACTCTGGAGCCTCCTCATACCTTTGCTGTCCTGGGATTCTTGAGTCCCTTTTCTCCTGTACCATACCTCTTCCTGCATTTGGAGACCCAACCTTAATGTCACCTTACTTCCACCCCCAAAATTTCAGCTCCTCATCCAACCCTACCTTTCTGCTGGTCATTGCAGCCGTGCAAAACACCCCTCTCTCGAGCTCTATCCATAAAACCAAAAGTCCTGCTTCTCACCAGGGTATTCTAAGCACTGCATTCAATGAAAAGCCACTTAACTGAGACTCTGTGGTGAAGACCAGAGTCTCACACAGTTGCTGGGTATAGGTTGGCTCAGGTGGGGTGAATTTCCCTTCAGAAGGGCAAGTCTTTCTCCATTGCCTGTTGAAGGAGCCCAGGGTGAATATCATCCTTAGCTTCTAGCCTAGCCAGCCTCAAAGAAGTGACTAAACTTAAGTCCCTGTTTATTTAGCTTTAAAGTTTAGCTTCAAGAAGTATGTTTAACTAGAAAAGTTAGCTGGTATACTTGGCAGTAAGAACTTCTCTGGAAAGTCTCTGTCAAATAAAAATGCAGTCACCTCTAATAGACATATGTCTGCTTTTCAGAGGGAGCTCTCCCATATATTTGAGATTCAGTGATAGTAGTAGGTGCTGAACACCATTGAAAAACAAGCCATAAACCATCTTGAAAATCTATTTTAATTGTTCCTAATATACATTTTAAAGATTAATATCTCCTTACTTACATTACGAAGAGGGCTCCTCAGATGGCACTGTTTGGGACACGGGAAGAATAAATTGTGTAATGCCAACAGAAAAGGTGCTGAGGTAGCTGGTAATTGACAGAGTTAATGAAGTATGTTAAGCAGGTACAATATAGATGAAGTTGTCCCCTGCAGGGTGATTGGCCACTGGGGAAATATTGTGACAGTTGTCTTTGTGCTAAAATAATGTGGTACTCCCTCTTTGCCAGATCCTATCTGCAATGAGAGGTGAAAGAGATCTTGCAAGGATAGCTGGGTCTTCCTGCAGCAAATGCTGAGCTTGAAGCCAGCAGGTAAAGGATGGGATGAAGAGAGGATAAGGAGCGTAATGGCCATTCACAAAACAGTTGGGCTATTTCATACAACCCCCACACGAATTATCCACTATCGAAAAGCAATAATTTGACACTGTTTTCTATAATCCGCTCTCACACGCCACAATACATTGTGGTGCCGCCTGGGCGTGAATGAGAGCAGAATTTGGCTTGCCAATTTTTCTGGAAGTTGATTATTTTTAGATATTGTTTTAATAATTAACTAACTAGCTCCCAAGCAGTACAATGGATTTAGACAGCAAAGGATGTTTTTGAGAGCAATATAGGTTTTGTATTATTATCTCAGTCTATTGTATGTGAATATTACCATCGAAACAGCAGGGAAAATATCAAATGGAAATAGAGCTCAGCCTCTCAATTATACCAAGCTGTGTGGTCAGTATTGGTTCCAAAAGAGGCGTGTAGAGTGTGGAGTAATGAAAAATCATTCATACCATCACTTTGGTGTCTAAATAGTCTACCCCAGCATTGTTCTTATTAAAAAATCTCCTTCCTTGTCGGCCAGATCTCAAAATATCCTGCAGTTTTCCTGACTCTTTCAGGTGCTGACAGTGTTTTCATGTTGTGAACACATGAAAATCATACCTTTTCTGAATTACTGAAGTTGTGGCTGTTGACATTTTCTTGGTTGATATTTATCTGCTCATAATGAAATTGAGCTTGTTGCTATTGGACGTTCAAGCTTTTCAGTGTGATTTTATCCTCATCAACATCTTATAAATCCAAGGAAAAAAAAAAAAAAAAGAAAAGAGCTTTACCAGCTAATATACTTTAAAAAGTGTCCTTCAAATAGAGGCACCAAAGAAGATTAACCAAGAGTTGTTTTCAAGGTTCTTAAAGGATCTTTGAAAGAAGCAATTCTTAGGAAACATCTGACAACATGAACTGAGAAAATATTTCCTAGCATCCCATGGCAAAAAATCTTTTAATTTTCAAAATATTGTAAGTGGGAAAGATTAAATAGAAACACTTGTTCGTTGCAGGATTTCAGCTTACAACAATCATGATCTCTTTCTCCAGTCTTTCTTATGGCTGTAAGATCTATATAGCCATTTGTTATTATGCTGTCAAGAACAACAACCTGGACATGAGAACATTTTCAACAGAGCTTCTTACTATGGGAATTTTAAAATCACTCCCTTACAATTTATTATGGACCACAGTTTAAAATATTTTTGTGCCCAAAGAAACTCAGGTGATGCCATTAAGACAGCATAAAATACCACAAAATACCAGGAGATCAAACCAAGTAGCAATTATCTAAAGCATTTTTCTGGTATCTACCCAGATTTGCCTTTTGGGAGTGCTAACTCAGTAAATAATCACTGTACATAAACAAAGCATTGGCTATAACTCTCAAAAGAACTTCAAATCGTCTTCAAAGTGTTTTGCTTTGTTTGACAAAATACTCTTTGGGGATGTACTAATGGACAAAGCTAAAGATCCAAAGAAAAGGAACTTGATCCATTTGAAAGAGAAGGCTGAAGGAAGCAAATGTAAAAATATGCTGGTACTCACTCAAAAAGTGCTGACTTCCTCCTGTAGGTCATCTCACCGGCCCACCTTGTACCACAAAACA